AACTTGAAACTTATGTCGTCTTGCAACTGATGTCCTGTCTCTGTGCTGTGTTCAGGGGCCGCTTGGCAGCCTGCTGGTGGCTCTGAAAACCCCAGTCTATGCAGACGGTGCCACTCCTGGTGTTTCCGGGCCCAGCCCTCTGAAGAGCTGGGCCAGGAAAGGAGGCTCTGTTTCCTAGCAGCAGCCCCCATGGGGAGGGCCCTGGGCACAGTGCACCTTCTCCAGGTGTTTTGGAGGAAGCCGGAGAGGTGGAGCAGTGTGCCTGGCCTGCCATCCACTCTAGGCTTGCTGTCTTTCCCTCACGCCTGCATTAGTTTGCCAGGGCTGCCGCAGTCAAGGACCACAGGCAGGGGAGCTTAAACAGCAGACACTTATTTTCTCCTGGTCCTGCCGGCTACAAGTCCCAGGTTAAGGTGTTTTCTCCTGGGGCCGCTCTCCTTGGCTGTCTACTCCTTGTGTCTTCCCTCCTTGGGCTTCCAGACTCTGTGTGTGTCTGTGTCCAAGTTCCTCTTCTTGTAAGGACACCGGTCATGCTGGATGAGGGCCCACCATGTGACCTCATTTTAACCAAATTTCCTCTTTCAGGACCTTATCTCCAAATATGGTCACATTCTGGGGTCCTGAGGGCTAGGACTTCAAGATATGAATTCGGGGGGATATGGTTCATCCATGACAGCACCCAAATGTTGAAAAGAGCCGGCTTGGGTTTGAAGGGCGCACTCCTCTCTGTGCCTGTGAACTGAGTCCTTCTTGGCTTCTCAGGCCAAGGACCTGCCCCCACGCGGCCACAAGGCTGACCCTGGGTGGCACATTCCCAGGGACGCTGGGGCTCTAAGAAAATGGCTGTAGGCACCTCCCCCCCCCCCCACACACACCCCTTACAAAGAATGAGCAATGCTAGGCTAATTATAAATCTGTCTTCTTTCTTTATGGCGGTGAGTTCCTTCAGGGGTTGGTTTCCAAGGCTGGCTGCTCGTCAGAGTCACCTGGGGAGTTTAAAAACAAAAACCTGAGGAAACAAAAATAGATTCTTTGCTCCCATCCTAGAGCTACAGCACCAGCACTCAGCCGGGGAACTGCCGTTGTTCACAAGAATCGCCCTAAAGCAAGTGAGTAAAATGCTGGTGGCAGGCTCTCGGTCAGGGAACTCGCGGTAACAGTTCTTCCAACGTTTCTGTATGTTGGACATTGTTTTTTGTAATAAAATGAGAAAAAAGGATATCCGGTCATTCTGATGTGCAACTAGATTTGAAGACCTAAGACAGGAGGTCAATTTACAGATATGTTCTCCTCCGTCATGGTACTTGTCACATTGCATTATTGCTCTTCGTTCATCAAGTAAAAGACTTGTGATCTTTCCCACATGCGTAGTCCTCTGGTAGGTGCTGGGAATCGGGGAATGAAACAGCCATCTTCCTTAACAACACCACGAGTGCCATTTCCTACCCTCCAGGTCAGCAAGATTGAAGTCTGCCCATGGCAAGTGTAAGACTGTGAGACAGTGGGAACTTGGGGGCACTGCTGGTTGGAGTGTAGGCTGGGTCCCTTGCTTTTGGAAGATAAGTTGGCATGATTAGAAAGGTTGAACCCCACTCCTAGACATCCCTCTATGTGAGCCCCCATGGTGCATTCAAAAATGTTCACCACAAGCATAAAGCGGAGCACGGCCAAAATGTCCATCAAAGCAGAAAAGGTCAACCAAGATGCAGAATTTACACGACAAAAATTCTGCCAAGAGGTGACAACAAAGGAGCCATCGCTACCTTATAGCGAAGTGGATGAGTCTTACAAACACTATCTTGGGTGAAAGACCCCCACCAGGAGGAAGTCTCATAAGAATGCCTGTGTAAGTTCCATTTCTATAAAGGTCAAAACCAGGTCGTACTTATCAAGAAAAGCAAGAGCATGAATAATCCATTCAGGGAAGCAGCTACCTCTAGGGGTGCAGGAGGCAAAAGGACTGGGGAGCTTTAGAGATAATTCATTTTACTATAGTTTTTAAAAATGCCCATTGAGGTGTTAACATAAAAATAAAAGGCCAAAGTGAGAGGCAACAAGCCTTTATTTGAGATCCAAAAGTATAGCTGTTTGTGAAGCACTGAGGCAGAAACCCACATAGGTCCCGATTAGGAGGCACAAGGCCAGGGGAATTCATGAGAGAGGGAAGGGGCACAAGTACATCAAGAGAAGGAAGAAGGCAGTGCTAAAGGTGCAGATAAGCTAACATAGTGATGCTCACTTAATTTTCAGCCCAGTCGTCGTAGCAAACAGTTGTCTGGCATACAATGCCACCTCAGGCCCAGTCCAAAGGCCGTTTTGCCCAGTTTTAACATTTCGAAGGTCTGAGGAGTAAGAAGTGCAAGGCATTCCTCTGAAGTGGCCGCCTCGACTCCATTTTAAAGTGGCTCTGTTTATATTATTGTTCACATGGGCAATAAATGCACTTCATGTATTATCTATCTACACTAATAAAGGAGAAAGATGCAAATGGACTGTACCTTCGTGGCGCCCACCAGCCAATCAGGAGTGAGTATGCAAATTAACCCAACAAAGGTGGTGGGTTAATTTGCATACACAGGCACGGAGCGGCTGGGGGTGGGGCGGGACCTCTGGGGCAGCGTGGGAAGGTGGAAAGACGGCTCCGGGCCGGAGCAAAGGCGGAAAGGTGACTTCGGCCAGAGTGAAGGCGATGCTGGCAGCCAGGGGAAGGAAGGCCCATTCTTGCACGAATCTTCATGTATCGGGCCTCTAGTTTCATAATGAAAACATTTTTTAAGCCATCATTCTGGTCCTAGACAAACTCCTGGCCCATGGCTATGGAGAACAACAAAGAGCTGCAGGTTTGTGACAGTGCAGGAGCCAGGGAGCACAGGAGCGTGTGTCTGAGCCTGACTCCTGAGGGGGCAGGGGTGGGGGTGCTGGGGAAAGGAAGGAGGGCTGCCACCAGGTCAGAGGGAGAGAAGGGGCATTCCTGGGGGAGGGGGAGGGAGAGAGCCAGCAGCACCCAAGAGGAAGTCCTGTTCTTAGAATCCGGGCTTCTACTTTTGGACCCCAGCCTGTCCCAGCTCTGAGCTACTGCCTTCATAGTTTCTCTATCAACACAATGACCCAGGACAGACTAGAAACCCACATGATCTGTTCCAGGGGAATGAGGCTAGACACACAGACTTAAAGTCAGGAAATGTGCAAATGCAATATTACTTTACTGGGCCAAACCTGGGTTTAACAAATCTCCATCCTTGTCATCTTATAATGATGCTAGGGGCCCAGTGCACGAATTTGTGCACCTTGAAAGGAACTGTGGACCGAGAGGCTGCAGTGGGCACAGGGGCAGGTCTCAGCTCATCCTCTGCGCTCCCGCCTGGCCCCTCCCGCCGTGGCCCCAAGTCCCCTGTCTGCTGGCCGCCCCGCTTCCGCTGCCGCTCCCACATGCTGATGGTGCGCTGAGCGATTAGGGCCGGCACTGGGCACTGGCAGTGTGCGAGCGCCCAGCGGAACCATGGCGCACAGGAGCAAAGAATTTTCAGTAACCACCAGAGGCTTGCCCCAATGACAGTGACTGGTGTCCCACCTTGTTCTGGCGCCCCTGCTCACCTGTTCCACCATCCTGCCACAGCGATGCCCACCATGTTCCACGCTCTGCCGCCTGCTGCTGACGCCTGCCGTGTTCTGTACGCACCTCCTGGTGGTCAGTGCACGTCCTAGTGACTGGTTGTTTGGTTGTTCTGCCGTTGGGTCTATTTGCATATTAGGGTTTTATATATGTAGATTTCGGTGGTTCTCAGTGTGTAAAGTGATGTTATTTATTTATTACAAACACTATTAGGAGTTGTAAATGTGAATAGTAGTAAAAACCCCAAAACAGTGACCTTAGGTCTCTTTTCTTGTATATTTCATGTTGCTAAGATGTTTTATTATGAAGTCACTCAGCTATGGGTAGAGGGACAGACAGACTGCTTAGGAAATATTCAGTTACAAAGAAGCATTGGCCTGAAGGAAGTGAAGGAGAAGGCAGCTTACAAATTGCAGCTCATTGTTTGCTTACACAGATGGACTCTTCTGTTCAACCATCATGATTTGAAACAGTATCAGCCCACCCTCCACTGAAAGGCCCCCTCATTTCCATGCCTTCTCCCTCTGCAGACATATAATTCTATTTGGCTCCACTAGTAACATCTTTTTGATACCCTCTCTTCCAGTGTTTCTAGTGCTTTCCAACCTTTTATGTCATGCTACACCTAGAAAGAATGATAATATTGATACAACACAATGGAATAAACTGGAGGAAACTCAAAGGCATCTATCTGTGGCAGGAATTAGTGGAAATTTTACATCTTTATAGTATAAAATTATAAGAAGAATATGTAAACTTTTAAAAATTAGAAAAATAGTAAGTATGAAATTTGTATGAAACTCCCAAATAAAACCCAATAAGTTTCTTATTGGGAAACCTGAACTTCTTTCCATGAATATCATTTTTTTCATGTCAGCTTTTATGCCTAACGTGACTCTGAGTGAAACGTCTCTGAGTAAGACTTTAATAATGATCTCTTCAAGATGTCTAAATGATGCGCTCAAATTTCTTTCTAGTTACCATGATTTAAAACTTTTCAGGGGCTGGTGATAAAAATTTAAAGTCATTTCCCAATCATTCACAATTTACACCTGTTGAAATGCAAATCAAAAACATACTGAGAGATCACTTCACACCTGTTAGGGTGGCTATTTCCAAAAAGGCAAGAGATAAACAAATGTGAAGAAAGGGAACCCTTTTCAAACTGTTGGTGGGAAGGTAACCTTGTGTAGCCACTGTGGGAAACGCCATGGAGGTTGTCTGGCATACGATGCCACTTCAAGCCCAGTCCAAAGGCCAGTTTTGCCCGGTTTTAACATTAAAACAGAACTACCTTCTGACCCAGCAATTCTATTCCTGGGCATATATCCAAAGGAAATAAAACCATTATCTCAAAGATATATCTCTACCCCCATGTTCATTGCAGCATCATTCACAATAGCCAAGATGTGGAAATGACCAAAGTGTCTGCCAATGGATGAATGGGTGAAAAAATTGTGGTGTAGAGGTACACAATGGAATATTAATCAGCTTTAAAAAAGGAAATTCCACTATTTGTGACAGCATGGATGGAACTTGAGTGCATTATGCTAAGTAAGTGAGACAGAAAAAAACCCCAGATACTGTGCATAGCATCTTACATGTGGGGGGGGAATGTCAAACTCATAGAAACAGCGAGTTGGAAAGCAGTTGTCAGGAGATGAGGGGGTTGGGAAAATAGAGAGAGGTGGGTAAAAGAATCCACAGTTTCAGTTATAAGATGAATGATGTCTGAGGATCTAATGTTTAAGGTCGCGAATACAGTTGATAACCCTGGATTGTACAACTGCATTTGCTAAGAGAGTAGAATTTTAAAATTCCCACCAAAAAAAGAACAAAAAAAGTAAACATGTGAGGCCAAGGAGGTGATAATTAACTCCATGGGGGTGGTGGTGAGTCTTTTCATAATATATATGTACATCAAGTCATCATGCTGTACATTTTAAATATCTTGTCAATAATACTTCAATAAAGTTGAAAACACCCAAATTTATACCCGTTGAAATTATATTCAAAGAGCCTCACATATTCTTTGTTAAACGAATGTCGCTTTCTTGCTTTGACAGATACTGAAATGTCTCGTGATAATACAAATGTATTCCTAGCGTCCCGCGTGCACGTGCTTCCTCGCTGTCATCACAAAGCCCCACACAGAAGGCGGCTTAAAGGAACGGAAATGTATCCGCTCACAGTCCAGAGGTGAGAAGTCCAAAATCCAGGTGTGGGCAGGGTAGGTTTCCTCTGAGAGCAGGAGGGGGACTGCCTTAGGCCTCTCCCCGCTTCCCGGCGAGGGCGGTGGCCGCACCACGCCCAGCTCTGCTTCCCTCTTCGCAAGGTGCTCTCCCTGGGTGTCCGCCTCTGTGTCTCCTCTTCTTGTAAGGACACCATATGGGATTAGGGGCCCGCCCTATTCCTGTATGACCTCATCTTCTCTCATTACATCTGCAGCGACCCTACTTCCAAATGTCACATTCCGATGTACTGAGGTTGGGACTTCAAGATATCTTGGTGGGGGGCGGGGCCGGAGGTGCGGGTCGGGGGCTGAAAACCATTTGCAACTCTATCACTCATTGAATTTTTTTCAAA